TGAATGTGATCGATATGAATGAACGTAGTGAAAACAGTGTACAGTATAGTAACTCCCCTGTTGGTTTGAATAATCGTCACAATAAGCATAACGGGAGACAGCAAGCCTAGAGGTCACGTGCAATCGGGGGTGCAGCCAGGCGTGGACTGTTACGCGGATAGTGAATCGCATTGCGCGGACAGCTCAACACCGAATTGGTTGGACCTGATGCGTCTCGGAAAAGACGAGATCTGTTTGACATGTGTGTGTGTGTGTGTGTGTGTGTGATACCAGTTCGTCTTGATTAGTTATGTGTTGATGAATACTGGTGTGATTATAAAATTCCCAACCGCAAACCGCTATCGAGATGTGACCTGGTTTAATGATGCAATGATTGCTGTCGGTCCACAGGGCAAGTGGTCTTCCTTCGTCTCCAAACATTTATTCGGTTTTACTCATTTCATTGTGTCCAGTGAGATGTGGACAACACCCCAAAATAAATAAAATGTGTAGATAGATAAAATTAATTCCTTATCCCACTGATGTTGCGCATGTATCTGGTTATCCTCTATAGAGTATGCCCTTCAGAATTGATTTTGGCCTAATGTACTCAACCTAGTTGGATAATATTAATAATAATTAAGTTCTTTTATTTCCTCCGATTTGGTAAGTACTATTCTGATATCCAGGTTCAGACTTGAGGAGAACAGTCTATGTGGCAGAAAATATTAATCGACTTTAGGTTGCTTTTAGCGACGGATAATTTTCCATTGCAAATCATGTTCCAAGAATGCAGTTGGGTTATGTCATCCTTCCATCCCTACCCCAAGGATCGGATTCGGTTCAAAACTGAATGGAAATTCCATCACTCAGTAAAGGAAGCACTCACTCACTTGGGAGGATAGCTCACGTTCGAGCGCTGATCTTGGAGCTGCCGTGTGGACGAGTTTTGAACTTGTCATACTGTTTGACAAGGCGGCGATCTCATCTTGCAAAAGTTCCACATCTTTGTAGGCCTGCTTGATAATTTGTTCGACATCGGTGGATGGTAACCGTGGCGGCAGTTTGGGAACTGGCCCGACAGATACGTTGGACAAAAGAATCTGCGGTTCGGGGCAAACATAATTGAGATGAAATGAAAGAAAAAACTAGGCAGACAGACAGACAGACAGACAGACAGACAGACAGACAGACAGACAGACAGACAGACATGAAAATAATAAGGCAATATCTATTCTTCTTGAAATGCAGTCCAGAGGAAAGTGACAAAAACATAGAATGTGAATCGCTTGAATGGTTTGATCTCATTAGGAGTGTGATCACAAAGTAGATTCATTCACTCAACAAAAAAACCCAAAACCCGTGGGCGTACATTTTTTCCAAATGCATTTTAGATCCGTTCTCAACTTTTCCTCCCCTAAAAACCGTGTGTTGAAAAAACATGGATTATTAGAGGTGACTGTTTATCGATTATTATTAGTAGTAGTAGTAGCAGTAGCAGTAGCAGTAGTAGTAGTAGTACGCACGGAATTAGGATCAAGAACCACACAATAGGAATCACAGCACACCAGTCAAGGATCAGCTATCACGGACTGAATCACGGAGGCACTAAATCGCAATGGCACGAGCTGGCGACATTCCACGTGAACTAGACGCGAGGAAAAGGCCACAAGACTGGCAACTCGTAGTTCGTTTATTGGAAGGAATGAAGACGATTAAATTATTTGTTATATATATATATATATATATCATCTGTTTATCTAGGCTTTCTACCAATCAAATTGATTCTGTCTACGCTGTCTCGGATTGGTTGGCACAAGCTGCCTACGGCGTGTAGTCAGAAGCCGTACGTATGTCATTGACGTCACCTTTTAAATTTAATTGATAGCAAATGTCCAGAAATTGTAACACGCCACTCCAGGGTAGGCGTCATCACGTAGCCTGAATCACCACAGAATCGTTGACCCCATTACTTCAAAATATGGCAGCGACTGAATGATCAGTGAGTGGACCGATACACGCAAACACTTCCCAAGGTAACGGTGACGCATGTTGACTGATTGTTTCACATGACAAATAACAGTACTAGGATAAAGAACGCTCGTTGAGAGTTTGACGTTGAACGATCAAGATCAGTGTCACCGTAGAAATGGCATAATAATTGTCATAATAATTGCCACAAGAACAGGATGCTTCTCGAAAACTGTCCGATTTGATCAGGAACAGTTAGTACAGAGAAGAACTTTAACAATAAACTCATGTGAATCCCGGCTCGGGGTACATCTCATTGCACACTGCTTGTATTTTTATTTGTATTTGTATAGGTTTTTGCGTAATCAGATGTCCGCATTCCCGTCAAAAATTACACATCTCATCAAACGGAGGAAAATAATGAGTACAACAAGGTCGTTGAGAAGTTCAGAAGAAACGCTCTGTCGGTTTACAAGGATTCTGGCGAGATAGGGAACTGGGGAATTTCTATAGACAATAATGCGAGAGGGTAATAACCGATATGTGTAACACGTAGGTACACGAGAGCAGCATTTAGATAGATCGCCATGTAAAGANAATGTTTCACATGCGGACAAGTGATGTTCACACCGTTTTTCAGATAGATTATCAGTGGGTCTGAAAGACACGCGTCTGATGATCGACAAACCTCGACAAAGAATTGCGAAGTCTTTCTTGAGTAGAGTAGATCAGCAAAAGCCACCGGGGAACAATGAAGAAGAATGATAAAAACATTGATAAACAAAAGGCGAAATGTTTTTTTGCTTGGCGCTGAACTGCCTTAGTCATCAAATTTGAAATGATAATCTGCGAGGTTTCTGTACGGAGTTGTAAATATGGGATGTCTACGTTAAGTTTGTCAATGGTAACTCCTGAGTACTTGATAGAGTCTACTCTGGTCAGAGGATCTGTGTTTACGACCGAGGGGTCACAGTGATAAACAGATCGAGAGAGGGAGAAAGTGCATCTGAAGAACTTGGATAAATTAGGAGACAGTCCAGAACGAACGGAAAATTCGTGGATATGTGATAGATTTCTAGATAAATTGAGAAGATCCTCAGGCACAGAAATGGCTTGGCACAGGACTACTTCGTCAGTGTTGTTGGATAATTGGGCCGAAGAACTAGCTGACAAATCACTGATGTAGGTGGAAAAGAAGAACGGAGGAAGTACTGCACTCCTAGAGTGTTCACAAGCGGCTTAGATGTTTTCCTACCGAGCCCAGTAGGCTGAGTTCTGTTTGTGATGAAGTGGACGAGCCACGCCAGTAGATGCTTGGGACAGCCAAATGATTCCAGTTTACGAAAGACGAGGGAAGGTGGAACAAAGTCAAACGCCGATGAAAAATCTAAGAAAACAAGTCTTACAGATTTCGCTGATGCGTCTAAGGATTTGGTAACGTGATGAACGAGAGAGGCTACAATATCGAAAGTGTACTTGTTTGATTTATACACAAACTGGAGATGGTCTTCAGGGGTACAGAAGGAAGCAGAAAGGCGTTTGAGAATGGCATGTTCTGCCAATTTAAGACCACATGACGCTAGAGCAATGGGACGGAAACGTTTGGACAGGGTGCTGGATCTGCACGGTTTTTGAATGGGAATGATCGTGACGGGTTTCCAGCAATCAGGAATGGAATACGTGCCAAGTGATTTGTTGAGGATAGCAGTAAAACCATCTGTTAGAGCAAAGGCAACATGCTTTCAAAGATGGACCATCGGGACCAATACCAGTAGATGAATTAATTGTACGGAGGAGTTGAAAATATTTG